TCAGCTGTGCACACGCGCACAGAAATGCATCCGTGGAAACAATATATGCACATACACTCTGATACCACTTGAAATGAGTCAGGGAATGGCTGTTTACGGTGCTAGAGATTTCTTATTCTCCATGCTAGGGACGAGACGACATAGTAAGACCAATAAACTCCACCTCTGTAGTCAGTTGTCTGTAAGTAAAGCAGAAGAGGGGCACTGGCCCACGCCTGCGTGTGGGTGCTCCGTGGTCCCCGGGGCGCAGGGACACAGCTGCCCCCACCCGCTGCAGGGTGGTGGGACCTAAGCACAGGGGACAGCCAAGCATCCCTGCCCTGACATCCCCTGTGCTGCAGCTTCCCATGTCCTGTGAAAGGGGACACAGACAGAGACCATGGGAGAGCCGATGCCTCCACGTCTCTAAAGTGCTCTGAAATGGAAAGTACCGAAGTACTGAGTTGGGATAGAGCTGTGTGCCCCGGGAGGAACACTCTGGCCCCTGGCTGCAGGCAGAGGGTTGGAAGATGACTGCGTGGGCATGGGGCTAAGCCATAACCTCAGGGCTCAGGATCCAGCCCTCCTGCCACAGCCAGGACCACTGTCCCTCCTGCCGGGTGGGGAACTGGTGTAGTGTCATGGAAGGACTTTCCATCCCTAACAGAGCCTTGTCCGGTTCCCTTTGGTCTACCACGTGCATTTCATTGTCAACTTGAGGTTGTTGTTGTGCAAAAGAAGTGATTATGAAAAAAAAATAAAGGAAAAAAAAAGAAATAAAGTTGGTATGAAACCATGTGTGTCCGTCTCTCCCCAGAAATGGGTCGGTTTAGTTCCAAGGCTTCTCTTTGTATTGTGAGAATACTAATTAATTGTATTAAACAGATAACTGACCTAAAGATTTAACAAAATAGACTCTAAGCATCTGTATGCTCAAAGAGTACTTTGCACCCAGCATAAAAGAGGCAGAGACTGACAGTTTATCACCATTCTCAGAGGGAAAAAGTAATAAATGCTTGAATGAGGGTCCTGCTGCCACCCCCAAGGCTGGGAGTGAGGCTGTGCAAAGTCCTTACAGAGAAAGATCAGAACAGATATAAGACAATTACAAATACAATAAATGCACTTCTGGACAACACATGAGCTTCTTTATTAAAAGACTCCAGTGCTTCCTTCACGAGCATTTCCTGAGAAAAGATCCAGCCTGGGCTGGACATGGTGGGAGGGAGGAGGGCCGTGGTTCCCAGGGAGAGAGGACCCCAACCCGTGAGACCCTGCACGGCCAGTGCTCCAAATCCCATCCCTGGGGCTAGGTACACAAAAATGCCCCAAAAGCTGCAACTGAAAACAGGGAAGTTTGTACTATAAGGGTGGTGACACACTGGCACAGGTTCCCCAGGGATGTGGTGGCTGCCCTGACCCTGGCAGTGTTCAAGGCCAGGCTGGATGAGGCCTTGAGCAACCTGATCTAGTGAGGTGTCCCTGCCCATGGCAGGGGTTTGGGACTGGATGATCTGTAAGGTCCATTCCTACCCTTAAATTCTATGATTCTATGATCCACAGGGACACACCAGGGGAGGGTGCCTGGCTGCTTCCCCAAATGCTGGGGAAAGGATCCCCCACTTGCCATTTTTGGAGGGGCTTTTGCCACCAGCAACGGTGCCCAATGTCCACTGCCCT